GACTAGACGTGGGAGTGGGGGAGAGGGGTGGAGACAGGATGAGGTAAAGAAACTAGTCCTAAGAAAATGGCCCAGGTGAGGGATAAGAAACATCTCTGGACAGAAGAAGTGGATGGAGGCAAGTTTGTAAAAGGTGTTTCAGATTTCAGAAGGTCAGAATTGATGATGGACCAGTTGGATCGCAAATGAAGAAGACTAGGGATTCCAATTTCCCCCATTTCATCATATATTAAATCTAAACGATAAAGACTCTTGGGAGTCCCTTGGACTACAGAGATCAAACCAGTCAATCCTAAAGGAAATCAACCCTGTATATGCCTTAGAAGGACTGATACTAAAGCGGAAGCGGCAGTACTTTGGCCACCTGATGTGAAGAGCCAACTCATTGGAAAAGAACCTGATGCTGGGAAATATTAAAGGCAAAAGGAGAAGGGGTCGGTAGAGGATGAGATGGTTAGACAGCATCACCGATTCAATGGACACGAATTTGAGCAAACTCTGGGAGATCGTGGAGGACAGGGAAGCCTGGTGTGCTGGTGTGCGACCCCATGGGGTCGCAAAGAGTCGGACACGACACAACTTAGCGACTGAACAACCACAACAGTAAACCAAAGTTTGTCTGAAGTTGAGGAGGACGCAACTCAGGAGAGAAGGATGGGGTGCAGGTCCCCTCCAGACACGACCCCTACAGCCCCTTCCTCAGCAGGGGGCAGGGGGGCTCCCTGCTCTCCGATATGAGTTAAGCCCCAGGGCTGGGCAAATGGGGTGGGGTGGGGGGAAGCCAAAGGGCCAGCTGCCCCTGTCCTGGGGCGCTGGAGACCGTTCACCCGGCAACATGAAGGGCCAAATTCTTTCCTTTTAATGTAAGACTCCCTCTCTGCCAAGGGGGTTTTTAATATACCTGTGCTTCTTATTCTGTTATGCTTTGAGATATTCCAAAGGGTTGGAGCAAGAATTGGGGAACAGAATGAGAGGCGATGTCTAGGGGTCCCCTCCTGCTTCCCACAGGCACGCCCATCAGCTCCTCTGCCCCCTGGGCCGCTCTGCAGGGCCTGCCCCCACCTCCCAGAGCTCCCCCCACCCAGCCCGCAGCCTGCACCTTGCACAGGGGGGCCCTGAAGACGCCCACCTGCCTCAGGAGCAGCACCTCTGATGACTGCACGCCTTCATCTGGTGTCCACGTGGCCGGCACGCCGCTTTGTAGGAAGAATCATTTCTCCCTGGAGAGGAATTCTCTGATCTGATTAAGCACGGGAGGGTGACAGTATCCATAATTAAGAGTAGTTAGATGCAAATTTGAGGAAATGTGTTTGAAAAACCTCTGAATTATGATCCCCACTTAATCAGTGATGGGAGATTGAACGTGAGGGTTTGCGGGTGCATTTCAGCTGCCGCGGCGACAGCCATGAAATTCTCTTTGTAGGTTAGACAAGTGGTCGTGACGGGTTCGGAACAGGTTCACGGGAGCCGCTCCCTACGGGGCCTGTCTTGAAAGTGGCCCCATTTTACAGCTGCTCACAGTCCTCATTGGCCATCACCCCTGATGTGGTCTGCATGCCTCCCAGTGGAGAGCAGAGAGAAAGCCCCTTGTTCAGTCCCAAGGCCTCACAGGCGATGGTTTCTTACCACCAATCTCAGCCCAGCACAGCACCCACTGGAATCCGTAAGCGGCCCTTGTCTGAGAGCCTTTTCCTCCACGAAGAAGTTTTTAAACTTGAACTATTAGCAGGGCTTCCCTGCTGGCTCAGTGGTAAAGAACCCACCTGACAATGCAGGAGACGCAGGAGATGAGGATTTGATCTGGTTGGGAAATCCCCTGGAGAAGGAAATGGTAACCCACTCCAGTATTGTTGCCTGGAGAATCCCATGCACAGAGAAGCCTGGCGGGCTATAGTCCACAGGGTCTCAGAGTCAGACACGACTGACCAACTGAGCGTCAGCTTGTCAGGTATACTTAGGTCGCTTCCAAAAGTAGCACTGGAAACACGGATGCTATAAAATAAAAATGCATTTAAGCAAAGAGACCAGCCCTTGGGTGGGGCGGCCAGAGGCATGGTGGGGAGCCAGGACTGTGTCCCAAGGCTGCCGCCAGGCCAGCACTGACGGTGAGCTTCTGGGCAGCCCGGGACAGGGACACGGGCCAGACTGCACGGCTCCCGGCCCGAGGAAGACAAGCAGAGGTCACAGAGGGCGCCGAGGGGACACCTTCCCACAGGGAACCCCGAGGGCTCTCTGCAAGCTCTCACAGCGTAGGCTGGTCTACAAGACCACATTTACTACTCGAACTAAGAAAAAAGGAAATGGTGCAAATGTGCTGCGTGGGGGTGTAAGTCTGGGCTGCTACCGCACAACGTCCTGACGTCAGCGAGGTACCCTTTCTTCTAACCCCTCTGTGGTTTTTTCCTGGAGATTCCACCAGATTTCTTAAGACCCCACAGAATCAGGAACCCAGAGAAACAGACCAGCCCAGCCCAGCCCTGCAAGCCCACTGGGGAGATGTTGGCCGCAGTCTCTCTGAATTCCAGGCCCCAGAATTGTAAGCCTGATAAAAGGGCTGTCACTTCACACCATTCAGTTGTGTTGGTTTGGTTTTCTGCGCCAATAGTGAACCTGCCAGGTCATGGCGACATCTCCCTCTCCCCTTCCTGTTCAGTTTTCCCCCAAGTCAATTTCCCCAAACTCTGCGGGCCAGGGGATCACGTGGTCCCCAGTAGGCTGTGCCACAGCAAATGAAGAAGGTGTGTTTTCTTTGATGCTCACTCCATCGCCAGTGGGTCTCTGCTCCCCACCCCCTGAATTTAGGTAGGATGTCCCATTGCTGTGACCAGCAGAATACAATGGAAGAGACAAGCCCGGGACTTAAGAAACCTCAGGTTTCCACTTGCTGTTTTTTGGGAGATCCCTTTAGCGGGAAAGCAGCTGCTGGGTTAAATGCCTGCCTACCCTTGGAGGAGTCCCTGCCAGCCTGAGAGGCCTTGTGCAGAGACAGCCCTGTCAGCCAGCCCCAGCCCAGGGCCATGTGCAACATTGTGACTCCAGCCACACCACATGAAGAAGAAGCAAAGCCACAAAATTAGGAGCCCGGAGGAGCAGACCCTGCCAGCCCCAGCCCTGAAAGCCCCTCAGCGAGACGCTGGCTGCGGTCTCTCTGAATTCTAGAACCACGGAATTGCAAGCCTCGTAAAAGTCTGTCACTTTGCACTATTAAATGTTGTTGGCTTTCTTTTTTGCACCGATAGCTAACCAGAAAAGTTGTACATCAAAATTTACATCCTTCCCCTCCCCTCAAAAAAAATCTGCATCCCATTCATAGATCTTCCATCCAGCTATCTCCTTTTGAGCTACCTGGAGCCACCCTCACGCCATGCCTTTGCTTTGTCTAGCATGGATAAGAACAAAGCATGAACAGAGAGAGATGGAGAGGAGAGAGAAACAGAGGGAGACAGAGACCAAAAGAGTCAGAGAGAGATGAGATAGATGGGCATTGGGTGAATTAAGGGATACATCTGAGCATCAGAGACTTAGTGATGTAGAAAGTGGTACCCTATCTCAGGAGAGCCCACTTGTTCACTATGACTTCTCATCACCCAGGGGAGACTTGACCTAACACAATATACACAACACAGTGCTGGCCTGTAGCTACAAAAAAAGGCTGGTGGATTCAAAGAAGCATTGTTTTTTTCCAAAAAACATTTGTTTCCTGCCACTTCTCTGGACTGGCAGCATCACTTGCATTCAGAAGAGGGTTTCTACACCCCAGGCAGAGCATCTCATAGCCGAAACACCCTCATCTGACAGCGGAGAAGAAGCAGAGAGGCAGGGGAGGGGCTGGAAGCAGTGTGGACCCCCCGGCCACCAGCTGTCTGCATCAGCTTGTCCTAGGGACGCCGGTGATGTAGACACCCCAAAGTTGAGGACCTTGTCTCCATGTGACAGCTGGCACCATGGCTGAGAGTTTTCTGGATGGAGATAAAGATTTTATTTTTACTTGTGCATCAATTGCAAATAGTTTTATATTCACTCTCGTCACACCGAGTAAACCTACAGAATGTGTTCAAGAGCTGGCACCACCTGTTACACAGGGGGACAAGCCACGTGATGCGTTACTAAGCGTGGAGTCTCAGAACTCTGACGGGATGAGATCGTGACGGCCTTCATAAACCGTGTGCATTCCTGGGTTGTACCTGAGCCGCAGAGCCACGGACTGAGGGCTGGTTTGCTTCGGAGCAGAGCGTGTTCCTCGTGGAACTGCTTGGGCTCTGTGTGAGCTGGCCATGGAGAATGTCCGCGGAAAGCTGCCGTGAATCAAGCATACTAAGAGGCGGTGAGGCTGAGCTGTGCTGGGTAACGGGGCCGGGCGTCCCTGTGTCCCAGTCCGGGGCTGACCTCTGGGGGCAGCACTGTCTTCCCAACCCACGGGAGCAGCAGTCCCACCTGGCCCTTCCTGTCTGGAGTTCAGAGAGAGAAGAAAGGAAGTGATCAGGGTCCTGGGTCCCTTCTCCTTTGGACTTCCTTCTGAAGAGATCCTTTTTTAAAAAGTCAAAACTGGTCCTACCACCTCCCTGACTAAAATCCTTCCCATTTTGTGAGCCCTTATGATGCCCTCCCGTTGCTCTCAGGGCGAAGACCACAATCCCTCGCTTAGCTGTGAGACGCCGCACATGCTCCTGGCTCCCGAGCAGACATCACCCCCGGGACTGCACAGAATCTCGGCGGGAGGAGCACGGCCCTCAGCACAGCTGTTTGGGCAACGATCTGATTGCTGACCGCCTTCACCCACTCCACTCCTCACAACGTCTGATGCTCATGGTTTATCTCAGTGTCTGGCATGATACCTGGTCCCCAAATCCTTGCAAACAAATGACCCCGCTAGTCATTGTCAACGTTTCACCCCAAACCTAAGCTTGCTGGAGGAGGTCCCCACCAGACGCCCTGGGAAGGTGCTGGAAAGGCAGCGGGGCGACGTCCCTGCGTGAAGCTGCTTCTCTCTGCTCTGCCAGCACCCGGGAGACGGAGCATCGTCACCGCAGGACCACAGCCGGCCGCCTCCGTCAGGGCCCCTCCGGGGAAGCCAGCACGGTCTCCCCCTTCCCCCCCGGCCCCGGGGCTCCAGGTGAGACCACAAAATGTGCCTGTCTTCACGGAGCACACACTGCACTCTTCACTCTGGACCCGGAACAGATTAAGATACCTTGCTGCTGCCCGCTGCGTGCTCAGGCTTTGTTTCCCTTTATTTCTGTTTACGTGCAGCTGGACGGTCTGCTCCACCTCCGTTCACCGTGCTTTTCCACTGGAATGTGTTTATGAGGGGAGAAAACAGGCTGGCTGTAAATCCATAGCTGAGTATAAACCTTGGTTGGTTAAATCAAGTCCACGATTGTTTTCATAGGCGCCGCTGACTTGAAAAACAAGCCACTGAAAGTGATTCAGCGTCTAGGGGTGGGAGGGAGGAAGCGAATGATGGAGCAGAGAGTGGGCTTCCTGGGGTGCAAGGGGGAGCAGGGAGTATCTCTGTGGGGAACCAGGAATTCAGTCAGCATAGCCGAGGGAAGGTGTCCAGATGCAACAAGCCGGCTTTGAGCCCAGGGACTTGGGGCTTTCATCACGAAGACCCCAGAGAGTCGAGGCATCTCTGTTCATCTTCGTGAATGGCTGGAAGTCATCCTCCCACAGTCGAGGCTCCCTCCGGGGCAGGGGCCACAGCGAGAACCAATCAGGATGCCAGGCTGCCGGTCCTGTGGGCACCTGTCCTGCCACGCCTGCTGCGCCGCAGAGAGCGCTCTGGGAAGAAAGGGTGGGAGGACTCGGGTGGAGACGGAGCACGGGGTGGGGGAGGAGGAAGGGGAGGAAGGAGGTGGCGGGACCCCGGCTCCGGACCGCCCTGTATCCATTCCCCAGTGGGGCACGCGTACAGCAAAGCCAGTTCAGAGGTGGGAAGAGCATCTCCAAACTGTCCGCTGACCTGTATTTCCTGCGAGCTTTCTGGCTGATGAAAACCCGAGACAAACATCAGACTGCAGGAGGAAACGCCGCACTCTCCGCCTCAGCCAGGCCCCTATTGGACATATTGGTGCCGCCATCTATCAGAGGCCTGGCGCTTTTTATGAGAGGTAGTAAGGCATCTGGCCTCTCACGTGGAGTCTTCATCTGCCCTGAAGAGTGCACGCGGGCTTGTCCCGGCTCCTCTGCAATGGCCTCTCGGCTGTATGAAGGCGGCTGGAACCCAGCCCCCGACATGCTGAGCCAATTGAGAGAGTTTACCACCTGAAAACACAGCCCCGAGATCAAGAAGACTAAGAAAAAAAAAAGGATGTAAAATCATTGAGGCTGAGGATATTAGAATCTTCAAGTGCCAGCCTGATTTGATATTTTGACAGATATTTGTTTCCGTGAAAAGTAATGAATTTCCCAAGGGAAACAGATTGGAAAATGATTAAATGGACACAGCGCTTCAGAGTGTGGCTCCTGAGATGGCGTCCACTGAATAATGAAGTTCTCTGCTGTGATGTTCGGTCCAGGCAGGAACCCCTCCAGACCCTTCAAGCCGATCACGGTGGGGGACGTCTCCCCCTGCCAGCAGCCCCTGGGGAGGCGTAATGAAAGACTTCTGCAATATCTGAGCTACAACCAAGAGAAGAGTGTGCTTGGGATTTCTCCGAGCAGGAGAACTTTCTTCTTTATTGAATTGCGACTTCCGTATTGATCTGTGATGGTATCGCAGTCATCAGTAATCCACTACCCTCTATATAGCACTTTCTCAACGTTTCAGAGTTCCTGTCTTTTATGCTTCTGTAAGTGATAAAAGCAGAAACAGAATTTGCTCTGGACTGGAAGCTTCTCTTGGCTCAAATAAGACATTTTTATAGGGTCTGTTCACCTGGGCCCCTATTGATAGCATACTTCATCCATTTAGTCTGTAGAAGGTTGATCTAAAGCTTACATCACCTTCTTTAAAAACTGAAACCTCCCCAGACCATTTCCAGATCCATCCAGTTTTTCAACTCCGGGCATCTTCTAGGGGAAAAGCACACCTTCTTTTGAACTTCAGTTAACTTAGCCACTCCCATGTCAGCAAGGTTCCGGACTGTGAGGCTCAATGTACTTCCTTCATGAAGTACCAGTGAGAGTCACGTCCACACCCACCGGGACCAGCGCCGCAGGACCGGCCGACATGTCAGCACTTCTGGTGGGTCTGAGCCGGCCCACACCAGGTCCTGTTAGCTCTGTGTGTGTGTGTGTGTGTGTGTGTGTGTGTTGTGGGATCTTGGTCCCCACTGGACCATCACGGAATTCCCCCTTTTACAGTCTGGTTAACAACTCGACCGTAAATTCAGCCTGATGAGCTGAACAGTCCACATGGTGTATGATAGACCGCCCCAGAGATACAGAGAGAAGGGCCGGGGGCCGTGGTTTATGGACAGGGATGCAGCCACACCAGGCCACCACTCACTGACGCTGTCAGAGTCCGACCAGGCAGGATGTGAGGGTTCTGGGTTTAGGCCGCTTGGCGTTCGGCTGTGCTTGGAGAATCAAGTGTAGACGAGGCTTTGGTAATAAAATGACTACAATATATTTATTCCTTGGTTTAAAGGCAGAAGTCCCATTCACATACTTAAAGTGACAAAAGTCGATTAAACTTTTCACATTTGTAGAATGTCCCTAAACATCTGCCCCGGGTTTTAGGAGTTAACCAGCACTGTCATTAGAACAATATTCGAGAAAGACTATCCCAACTCTGCCGACCAGGACTTTCCACTCTGGGGTCCGAAGGCAGACCGCCTCCCACCCACCCTGCCCGGTGGGGGCTCCAGTTCTCAGCATCTGTCAGCACAGCCTCCTCACGGTCTCCAGGGTGCAGGCATGCGGGCTCCGTCACTTCAGTCATGCCCGACTGACCGCGTGGACTGTAGTCTGCCAGGCCCCTCTGTCCATGGCATTCTCCAGGCAAGAATGCTGGAGTGGGTTGCCATGCCCTCCTCCTGGGGATCTTCCCAACCTGGGGATCAAACCTGGATCCCATTGCAGGGAGATTCTGTACCACTAAGCCACCTGGGAAGCCCCAAGACTTCCCCCAAATGAAGACATTAATGGGTTGTCAAGAGAAACAGGCATTTGTCCTTTAAAAGATCTAACTTTTTAAAATGTATTAAAACTGAGATGCATATGGTTTATACACACATAAACGTGTCTGAAATTTATGCCAAGGAAGCCAGGGAAAATGTCAACCATAAATTGAAATGTTTGACTTTCAGTAAACAGAATATACAGCAGTGGATACGATCATAAAATTAGACCCAGGTCCTTACTGGCCATCATAAAGCATGGATGTAACACTAACTGCAGTGACAGACTTTACAAAACTGCAAAAACGCTCTGGGTACAAACTGGGCTTTTCTCCCCAGGGTCACGTAGGTTGTAAACGCCTCGCTGCATGGGTTTTGGGGCGCCGCCCCGGAGGCAGTGACTGTCCAGGGCCTTGGGCCCTTCTCTAGCATCTAAGAGAAGGTCCAGCATGTGCTTTGCACATTTGCACCTACCCAGTAATTACAGGGCCTCCAAGTTTTAAAACGTTTTACGAATCACTATTCTGAGTTCATATAGTTTTCCTTAGATTGTGATATGAAGATGAGGTAAGCATGGAAGATGAAACATGGATGCTTAAAGGGAAGGTGGGCCTGAGAGGCCATTTATTTCCACCCCTCCCTCCTTCGAGCATCTCAGAAGCACCTTGCTGGGTCCCGGGGGGTCCTGTCTCATGGTCTTTCCCCTCCGCTCGGCTGTGTCTCATTAAGAACACGGTGCTTTGATACACCCTACTATGTGAAGGGCCAGCCCAGGCGAAAGCTGGTTCCCATGTCTCCTCCCCCTCCCTTCATAGCACAGAGCAGAAAATGGGCAACAATCACACCTCAATCTCAGTTGTGCCTTTTATTCTTTTATTAAAAAATATTTCTCACACACCACGCATGCTCCTGATGTTTGCTGGCATGTTCAGCTCCACAGAGCACAGGTCAGCAATGAGAGAATGGATGCATTCATTCTGCTGTCCTGTTACCAAAGATGAGTGGGTGATGACACCCAGGATTAGGGGGACATGAGGACATCGGCAAGCTGCTTTATAGACTGTCATACAGAGTGAAGTGAGAGAAAAACGAATATCATACATTAAAGAACATATGCGGCATCTAGAAAAATGGTATAGATGATCTTATCTGCAAAACAGAAATAGAGACTCAATATAGAGAACAAATGTATGGACAATCAGGGGAGAGAAGGGGCAGGATGAGCTGGGAGACTGGGGGTGACGGGTGTCCACCAACGTGTGTGACACAGGTGACCGGTGATGGCCTGCGTGCAACGCAGGGGTCTCGACTCACAGCTCCGTGGAGACGCGAACGGGCAGGAGACCCGGTCACGCACACACACCGCTGAGCCACTCTGCTGAGCGGCGGAAGTTAGCACAGTAGTGCACGGTGACCGCACCCCGATTTTTAAAAAGAGACAAGGGCAAACTTGATAGGGAGAGTGAAACTCGAGCAAAATATTGCTGATGAGCAAATGGAAAATATTTTAAACGGCTCGTGCTTTGATCTAGCAATTTTACATCTAAGAATCTGTAACAAGTAAATAATTAGAAATACATTTGATAACTTGAATTCAAGGGTCTTCAGCACAATATATTTTGCATCAATGAAAAATATAAAAAGATCTGAATATCAAGCCATAAGAGGTATCTTAAGTAAATGCTGGTATGTCTCCATAATAGAATTCTATAAGCCATCAAAATCCTATTATATGAGAACACCACTTGACACAAGAAAAATTCACAACGTGTAAGTCTGTAAATTACTTTTTTGGGGAATTCAAATTGTTATGGCATTGAGTCTTCTTAGCCACACCTGTGGTATATTTCTCCATTTATTTGGGTCTTCTTTAATAACTTTTAAAATAAGTTTTTATTACTTTCTCTTATACATCTTTTTTAAGTTTATGGCTTGATATTTTTCAGGTAAACTCTGTAAGTGTTGGTGGCTGGTGTTAGAAATGCAATTCAATTCAGTAAATAAGAAAATAGTCACAGTGTTCTTGTTTGTTTGTTTTTGTTTGTTTGTTTGTTGGTGACTATTTTCCTTTCCCATGAGCTTGTGCTCACATCTCTGCACCCTTCACAAAACAGACTCTATGCCTGGGGGTGTTGGGGAGTCATATACGCACAGACTCTGTGTCTGGACCCCAGAGAGGACAGTGGTCATCTGTGGACAACCAAGGGGAGACACCCACCTTGGAAAGTGAAGTGAGGGATTCAGACCCGGCAGGACGGCAGCCACCCTGGAGGACGTTTGCATCACACTGTGAGAGAAAGTGCAGCTGACCCCAGGGTGGGCTTCCACCAGCCAGGCAGGGACTGGAAGGAAGAGGTTCTCAGGTCAGGACCTTCAGAGATGCTCACACGGCCAGTGTGTGAGATGACAAGGGAGGCAGAGGTCACGCGTGGACCAGGAGGCCCCAGCTTCTCTGAGCTACGCATCGGAAAGCAGGCCTCCTTCTAGGGGAGGAGCAGGCAGAGGAGGAGGAGAGAAACGTGGCCCTCGCTGCTCCGTCTGAGGAGCGGTACCCAAGTCCACTCCTAAAACTGTGCTCCACCAAGGGGCTGACCTCGGAGGTTAGGCTTTCCTTCTCCTAACCCACTGGTTTACTCCCTGGTGGACGGTCAGCTGGGCAGGGGCTATTCCTGGGGAGAAGGTGTATCGGTCAGCTCAGGCATCAGAACAAAATATCACAGACCTGGAGGACTTAAGTGACAGACTCAGATATTTTTTTACAGTTCTGGAGGCCAGGGAGTTCAAGATCAAGGTTCCTGCAGATTCTGTCCTTGGTGAGGCTCCCACGCTGGCTTGCACAGCCACCTCTCACTGGGTCTCCACGTGACAAAGAATACAAATTCAGGAGTCTCTTCCTCTTCTTACGGGGGAACTAGTCCTATCCAGGGGGCTTCACCCACGTGACTCATCAATACCTATTTCATCTCCCAGAGGCCCTGCCTCCTAATCTGATCACCTTGTGTGTTAGGACTTCAACATGTAAATTAAGGGATGTGGAAAACTGAAAGTGTTAGTTACTCAGTTGTATCCAACTCTTTATGACCCCATGGCCTATAGCCCACCAGACTCCTCTGTCCATGGGATTCTCCAGGCAAGAGTACTGGAGAGGGTTGCCGTTCTCTTCTCCAGGGGATCTTCCCAACCAAGGGATTGAACCCGGGTCTCCTGCATTGCAGGCAAGGTGGGGTCACAGAAACATTCAGTCCATAGCAGAAGGGGACCAACAGTGCATGTGGGGACCACCCACCCCACAGCCACATGTCCAGAGGACTTCCTGCTGGAGGACGGTCCACCTCTGCCTCCAGGAGCCTCTGGATATGGGAACAGGGGGCTCTATGAATGAGCTGCAAGTTCACACATCACCCTGAGAACAAGCACACACGTCCTATCTCATTTCTCACCTCAAATTATGCCCAGCACTGCCAACTCCTAGCTATTTAGCAGGTAGATAATGAGGCCTAGGGACAACACAAAATGCCCCCAAAACATGCATCAATAATACAAAGAAATGGTATCAATTAGCATATTATTAATTTGCAAGTTCTCTTTCATTATGAAATTTAGAAAGTTAAATCTCTTTCCCTGTGCAGATTACAGTCGGCAGAAATTCAACCCCAAAGCTGCCCTTTTCCTCCTTGCTCTGCTCAGAGCACCCCATCTCTCTGCCGGGGGTGGGCTGCACTGGCTTTGGGGGACACCGCAGGCTTCCATGATTCCTCCCAAGTTGAAGCCTTCTTTCCCATGAATTGGAGAGAAGATGATGAAATCCCCAGCGCCTTTGACAGCTGTCTTCCACAAATCTGAATCCAGACTCAACATAAAGATTAAACGCCCCTCCTCCTGGGAGGCCAGTGCTGGCCCTCCGTCTGTAGTGAGACTGCCTTCCCAGCTGCGAGGCCATGCTGACTCCCTGCATACACGCTGGTCTAGGTTGTTGGGGGGTTATTCTTGAAAACTTGAAGAAATGTATCCCTGATTTGCTTAATGTTCTTCATTCCAACAAGATATAACACTGTGCTAAAAGCCCTGCTTCTCCAGAGTTATCTGGGAAGCAAGTTAGCCCTCAGTTTGGCTCCAATCAAACTCATTTCTCCTCTCACTGGGGGCTTCCCAGGGGGCTCAGTGGTAAAGAACCCACCTCCCAATGCAGCACACATAGGAGATGAAGGCCTCACCTCTGAGTCGGGAAGACCCCCTGGAGGAGGAAATGGCAACCCACTCCAGTATTCTTGCCTGCAGAATCTCACGGACAGAGGAGCCTGGCAGGGCTATATAGTCCCTAGCATCGCAAAGAGTCAGACACGACTGAGCACACACACTGTTCTAATTACTGACTGTTTATTGATTACTTTCACTGATACTGCCTGCATTTTATCTGGCAACTGTGCACCAATCCCACATACGCAGTGCCCCAGATCCCCAGCTTACCCCCCAGTCTCCATCCTGCCGGTCAGGTCGTGCTCCCCTGAGTTCCTTCAAGGCTGGCAGGAGCCCCCACCTTCCCTTTATGCCAGTGAGGGACTCCCTTCCTGCCTGCGCTGGCCTCGGGACAGGCGGACGGTGTGTGGCGGGGTGGATGACGCCGGAAGACTGAGGAGCTTGGTGCTGGTGGAGCCACTTCATTTGCTTCACTGCTCTTGGGCCTCATTTATTTTCTGTCCAGGAAAGCGTTTCCCAGATGGAAACATGCATTTGTCTCATTGTCCGAAGAGCCATTCACTCTCCCAGGAAAGCGCCTTCTCCAAGCTGAGGGCCCTGGACCCGCTCCTCGCTGTCAGCTCCTGGTGTCACTGAAGGAAACCAATCACGCTGACAGTCTCATCACGGCTTCGTAACAACCCTGTGAACGCGCCTTCCTTTTTGCGACGATGATTGAATCTCCCGGACTCTATTTCTTGCTTACACGGAAGTTTTCTTCTGCCCATCAGTTCTTCACTCATCCCAGATGATCTCATCAATATTACAGGATTATAAAAGAGACCATGATCTCTGGGCCCCAGGGTAACCACAGCACTACTTGGCCAACCTTGTAAAATGATTTTTTTTCCTCGATGTTGAGCAAAAAGACACAGCTTTATTTTCAATAATAATAATGCTATTTCAGAATTTTTTTAACCTTACTTCTTTGTGTGTGGGGGTCTCTGACGTGAGAGGACATCAGAGTCACAAATTAACTCAATATGTTCTTAAATTAAAGATTGCGAATAACTACATCTGAATCCCAACTTTTCATGTCAACCAAGCGGCTTACATCAAAGTGGAAAAGGGCTTGCTGCTCCCCGCAATGAACTGTTGCTTTTTGCCTCCAAGCGCAACCACTCGGAGGCTGCAGACACTTTAGTTACCATGATGGTGCCATCTGCTTTACCTTGCTTTTCTGGGAAAAGCAGTGAGTGAGAGAAAACCTGGGTCTGTGAGAGGGACTCGAGCCCAATAGGCCTGGGTAAGGAAGCCCTCTGCTTTTTATTTCTCCATGCCTCTCAATACTTCAAATAGTTGAGGGTCTCCTCGGTGCCGGGCGGGGACCAAGCGTGAACAGGAAAGGGGTGGCTTCTGCTGTCTCGACATTTACCTGATGTCCCTCCATGTGCCCTCGAGGAGGTCCTCCCGACCACGAGGGAGTGGTCACCCAGAAGGTGCGCTCACCATGCACACCAACTCAGCACAGGTTGTTTGGGGTTGTTCATTTGTTGGCTTTTTTTTCCGGATTATTTTTTAAGTTCCTCTAGTAATCGATACAGTCCTGTTTCAGCAAAGCCAATTTTAACAGAAAAGGTTCTGATCTCATCATTAGCTCTTTCTCACTGGCAGGCACAATAATTTTTCTGACTCAGTGTCTCTCTGATGGAACAACACGTGGTGGGAAGGTGGCCACGGTGTTTAGAGTGCTTTCTGCCCTGCCGTCATCAGGTAGGGCAGAGGAGGACACAGTCCCACCAGCCAGCAGCCAGCAGGCCCACACGGGACAGGCCTGGTAACTCACTGGGCTGGGGACCGGCCCTGCCAGCCAGACTGCCCACCGCAGTCAGCTCACCACAACAGAAAGGTCCATAGGCCCAGGCAGAGAGCACCCCACGACGTGCATCTCTGCTGGCCAAGGGGGCGTGTGCTGCTGGGCCCCACAGGATGCTTCCTACCTGAGACCACTTCTCCAGGATCGGGAAATACAACCAATGTATCAAATACACAGAAATTAAAATAGCAGATTAGGCAACATGAGGTGAGCTTCCAAACAAAGGCCTCAGAAGAAGAATTAAATGAAGAAGTAGAGATAAACCATGCATCAGATAAAGAGTTCAAGGCAATGATCATAAAGATGCTCAAAGAAGTCAGAAGAATGGATGAACAGAGTGAGAAGCTAGAAGATTTTTAAGTTTATGTTTAGAACATATAAATAACCAAACACAGATGAAGAACATGATAACTGAAATAAAAAGCACAGTAGAAGGAGTGAACAGGAGAGTCAGTGATGGAGAGGAATGGATTGGTGAACTGTAACACAGAGTGGGGCAGATTACTCAAACAGAATGAAAAAGAATTTTAAAAGTGAGGACAAAAAGATAAACAAAAGTGAGGGCAGTTTAAGAGACTACTTAGACACTATCAAGTGTATTAGCATTTCCATATAGGGGTTTCAGAAGGTGAAGAGAGAAAGAGGTAGAGAACATTATTTGAAGACATAATGAAAACTGAACTAAAACTTCCCCGACCTGGGAAAGGAAGCAGGATTCACAGAGAGTCCCAAATAAGATCAACCCAAGGAGGACCACACCAAGACACACTGTTATCAAGATTAAAAGATTAAAGACAAAGAGAGAGTATTAAAAGCAATAAGAGAAAAGCAACTAGTCACAAATGAGGGAATTCCTATAAGGCTCTCAGCTGACTTTGCCGCAGAGACTCTGCAGGCCAGAAGGGAGTGGCACCATATATTTAAAAGTGATGAAATGGAAAACCTACAAACAAAAAAAATCTACCCACCAACATTATCATTCAGATTTGATGGAGAAATTAAAATTTTAAGGACAAACAAGGAGCTAAAACTGATCCTGAAGCTCAAATACTTTGGCTCTCTGATGCAAAGAGCCAACTCATTGGAAAACACCCTGATGTTGGGAAGGACTGAAAGCAGGAGAAGGGCAGCAACAGAAGGTGAGATGATAGGATGGCATCACCGGTTCAATAGACATGAACTTGGGCAAACTCGGGAAGACGGTGAGGGACAGGGAAGCCTGGTGTACGTGGGGTCACAAGGAGTCAGACACAACTTGGTGACTGAACAACAAGGAGCTAAAAGACGTTAGCACCACCAACCCAGTTCTACAAAAAATGCTAAAGGGACTTCATTAAACAGAATAGAAAAGCCCACAGCTGGAAACGTGAAGAGTACAAAAGGAAAAGTCTCAATAGTAAAGGCAAATCCACTGTAAACGTAGTAGATCAACCACTTATAAAGCTGGTAGGAAGTAGATAAGGGATTTATACCCAAAACATACAAAGGACTCATAAACTCCAACATGGAAAAAACCCAAACAACCCAATTAAACAATGGGCAGAAGATCTGAATAAATTTTTCCAAAGACATGCAGATGCTCAATAAGCACATGAAAAGACCCCACTATCAATAATCATCAAGGAAATGCAAACCAAAACCACAGTGAGATACCACCTCGCACCTGGAAGAATGACTATTATCAAAAAGACAACAAAAAACAAGTGTTGGTGAGGATGTGAGAAAAAGGAAACCTCCTACACTATTGGTGGAAATGTAAATTGGTGTAACCACTATAGAGAGCAGTATAAAGATTCCTTAATATAAAAAAATAGAGCTACCATACAATCCAGCAATTCCACTCCTGGTTGTTTATCCAAAGAAAACCAAAACTCTAATTCAAAAAGATACACGCACCCCTATGTTCATTGCAGCATTACTTACAATAGCCAAGATACAAAAGGCTGTATATTGCCACCCTGCTTATTTAACTTATATGCAGAGTACATTATGAGAAATGCTGGGCTGAATGAAGCACAAGCTGGAATCAAGATTGCCGGGAGAAATACCAATAACCTCAGATATGCAGATGACATCACCCTTATGGCAGAAAGCAAAGAGGAACTAAAGACCCTCTTGATGAAAGTGAAACAGAACAGTGAAAATGTTGGCTTAAAACTCAACATTCAGAAAACTAAAATCATAGCATCCAGTCCCATCACTTCATGGAAAAAAGATGGGGAAACAAAGGAAACAGTGAGAGACTTTATTTTGGGGGGCTCCAAAATCACTGCAGATGGTGATTGCAGCCACAAAATTAAAAGACACTTGCTCCTTAGAAGAAAAGCTATGACCAACCTAGACAGCATATTAAAAAGCAGAGACATTAATTTGCCAACAAAGGTCTGCCTAGTCAAAGCTATAGTTTTTCTAATAGTCATGTATGGATGTGAGAGTTGGACTCTGAAGAAAGCTGAGCGCCAAAGAATTGATGTTTTTGAGCTGTGGTGTTGGAGAAGACTCTTGAGAGTCCCTTGAACTGCAAGGAGATCCAACCAGTCCATCCTAAAGGAGATCAGTCCTGGGTGTTCATTGGAAGGACTGATGCTGAAACTAAAACTCCAATACTTTGGCCACCTGATGCAAAGAGCTGACTCATTGGAAAAGACCCTGATGCTGGGAAAGATTGAAGGTGGGAGGAGAAGGGGACGACAGAGGATGAGATGGTTGGATGGCATCATCGACTCAATGGGCGTGAGTCTAAGTAAACTCTGGGAGTTAGTGATGGGCAGGGAGGCCTGGTGTGCTGCGATTCATGGGGTTGCAAAGAGTCAGACTGAGCAACTGAACTGAACTGAACTGAAGATACAAAAGCAAGCCAAGTGCCCGTCAGCAGAGGAACGGATGAAGATGTGGAGCTTACACAAACGGAATACTACTCAGCCGCAAAGAGGATGACATGTTGTCATTTGCAGCAAGACATTCCTCATGCTCCTTCACCCTCATTTTGAAACCTCCAAGTCCTGAGGACACCATCACACTGAGATGCCAAGGACGACCTCAAGCTCATTCCTCTTCAATGAATGGACGTCGCCTCCCCCTGGACAGACTCACTGTTTGAAGGAGCCTGACCAAGCCCTGAGGGGCCCCAGACACACGCTCCAGCCCCACACTCTCTCTGACTCTTCCTCTCCCCAATTCACAATTCTCCCTGCCCCTCAACGCGCACACACACACACTGACCGCAGTTCTCACCCCACACTCTCTCACACTCCCATGGGTCCAGGCCTGGGCTCCATCTCTGGAGGCCCGTCTGCTCCCTGACAGTCTGCACCCTACAGTCCACAGGAGGGGATTCTGTGGGGATCGTGCCCACCCACCATGAACCCCAAACCCTAAGCCTCACCCAGGAGGCCCATGTACTGCTCTGGGAGACAGAAGCACCTGAGAAGAGCAAGAGAAGAAGAGGGCTTCGCCAGGGAGGAAGAAGACAGACTTCGGGGGGCTGCTCCCAGAGACACCCTGCCCATGTGTGCTCCCCACGTCCCCTTAGAGGGGACCCCCAACCCGCCTACTGGGGAGAAACGCTGATATGGGCACACCACGTGGTTTTTCTGTATCAGCTTCTTCAGTCCAAGTTACTGCCCGACCAGAGGCCTCCGCCGAGACTTCTGTTAGTCCCACGGCCACCAAACTGATGCACAATTGTCTGGATACACGGCTCTGCCTGGGAAAAGGTCAGCTTTCCATAAGCAGACAGCTTGTCCACACAGTTATTTAAAAGCAACATATGTGGGCATGCACATGTGCATACACACACATACACAGCCCTACTGTGCCTGACACACAGGAGCAACTCAAGAAATATTAATGCCTGAGAGTCCATGAGACTGCCGAGGCTGCTCCAGAGAAGAACCAGGTGTCTCTGCCAATAAACGCTCTTGGTTCCCCTCTTCCTCGCATTCAGGGATGAACAGTCCATTGACGGCTGACACCACGTCCTTTGGGGTCCCTGCCCTGCCTCCCTGGATGGCACAAAATCCATCGCTCCCTGATGGGCTCAGCTGTTCAATCAAACCCACATCTCATATGCATGGAAGGGCTGGCAACTCCGGTGCAAACTAAAGCTGAGAGTCAACAGCCTAGTTTTTCATTAGAAAAAAGTGGGTCTGGGAGCTCAAGCCCCAGGGTCAAGGTGTCCACAGCGCAGTCCCTAAACCAGCTGACAGAGGAAGAGGGTGGAATTCTCTTCGGGAAGTCAAACCCCGTCACCCTCTGTCCCCCCGCATACTAGGAAGTCAGGCCTTCGTGCGGGAAGCACCGATGTCTGCAGTCACAGCTCAGACAGGCTGCCGGGGCATCTCTCAATCAGCAGACTTGGAGGGCTGTGGCGGGGTGCAGGAATCAGAGCCGGCAGCTTGAGATACCACGCTTACGATGGTTGTAACACCTCACAGCCACAGGGGAACGCCTGTAAAGCATAATTGTACTTCTCTCCACCTGAGTGCCCTCCAGTCCCAAGGCTTCAGCTCCTAGGTGATGACTGAATCTTGCCAAAGTGAACTTTCTCCTCTTCATTTAACCTTCCCTGTCTTCAGGCTTCCTGCAGAACTGAGCCAGGACCAGCCTTCTTCCTGGGCAAGGCCTGCCTGTCACCTGGGCCTCGGGGCAGTTCCCAGTTTGGGTCACCACCCCTCTGGTCGGGGAGACGGTGACCCTCCGGGGCTCCTGGCCACAGGCCCTGAAGCCCTGGCCACCCCCCGCGGGTCTGGAAGCCCTGCTCCCAGGCTTGGCGGGGCCCATCACCACGGGTCCTCTTCCTTCAGACCCTGAGGGTCCTGTGGGCACCCCAGCACCCTCTCAGCCCTCCTGGGCTCCTCTGTATCCTGAAATATTCTTGGTAGGCGTGTTGTTCGTCCAGAGGCCCCAGGCTGACTGCGCATGGATGACGGGGGGAGGGGGCGATTCAGAGGGTCTCCCTGACACGGGAACGGGGACTCCGCAGACAGATGCAGGAGTCCTCTCTCCAGATTCTAGATGGCGACATCCTAACATCACCCACAGATGCCAGACACGTTCTGATGGGAAGGCCCGTGATTGAGATCTCCCGATTCACTGCAGTGTCTTGCCTTAAAATCATCATCGCCTGTGATATAGCAACTGTGAGATCGCCCAGCCTCCCAGGCTGCCCCCTTGGGGAGCCATCTCCAAGTCACAAGGCTCCTGGATAGTCCCCTGGTACCCAGACGACCTGGTCACCTGCATGAAAGGGTGCCCTTCACACACAGATCACGTAGAATTAGGGTTCTGGCCAAATTGCCTTCTGGAACGTAAACCTCCCACCTGGATCAAATGTCCTTTGTCAGAAGGGTGTGGACCCTGGGACTCAAATGCAGAGTTTCCTTGGCACGGCTGGAGCGAGCTCTAAAGCGCTGGTGACTTCTGCCCCAGACTAAGGGCATGACGAGGCCTGCGGGTGGTGGAGTCTCCCCACCTCGGCGTCTCTCCACTTGGGGGTCTGCATCCTTCGAGGCTGTCACCAGGCCCTCTAGGCAGCTGCACTCATGCCCTCATGAGCCCAGGGCACTGGCCCCCACGCAGGAGCTAGAAATGCAGCCTAAGTGTCTCTGAACCCCTGAGCACGTGGGCCCACCTGGTCTGCTCCAACAAAAGGGGGCTTTGTCCCCATCGGAAGACCCCACAAGCCTCCACCAGGGCTCCTCAGAAGGAGGAGCCTCACCCTGAAGTCACAGCCACCCCACCAGGAGGGCCGCCCAGCTGGTGGGGCGTCTCAGAGAAGACGCGGGTCTGCACAACAGAAACGCCGCAATCTGGTGTACAAACAGGTCTCCCCAAGCAGCCTCCTGCCCAGCTGAAACGCCAGCCTCTCACCCACCTAGTCGGGACCTCAGGAGGCAAGGAGATGACACCCGAGGACTGCTGTTCTGCGTGCCAAGCAGCTGACGCACATCACTTTCTTAAGCTCTGGCCTGAGGAGGAGTGTGACGCCTGTGCCCTGGACCAGAGAAGGACAAGCAACCACAGGCAAGGGCTCGTGGCCGCTGCCTGCTCTCCTAGCCCCTGAGAGGTAAGGGTGCCCTGCTCCCCAGGCTTTTGTTTGCAGGGGCTTTTTTGCTTATTATCTTTAATCCCTTTGATTGAGGCATGATTTATATACCATGAAATTCACCTAAGTGAACAGTCCATCGAGCTTTGACAGTGCGCACGGCAGTTTGACCACCACGATCACGGAGCAGGGTAACCCCCACCTCACACAAAGCTCCCTCCTGCCCTCCCCGCCCCTGCAGTCATCCTGCCCCTCTATGCCCACGCCTTGGGAACCACTGATTTACTTCTCGTCACTGCAGTTTTGCCTATTCCAGAAGTCTGAGCAATTGGAACAATTCGGTAGGGAGAGTTTGAATCTGTCTCCTTTCTGATTCAGACATCATAGCTGAGGTTCATCTATGTGGTTGGCTGCTCCTTTTATTCTGGAGCATATTCTGAAGCTATTCCGTGGTTGGCCCATTCTTCAACAGGCTGACACTTGGATTCTTCCCAGATTGGGGCTGTGATAGAAAATGCTTCTATGGACATTTGTGTACACATCTTTGTGTGAACATAGATTTTCATTTATCTTATATCAATACTGAGAACTGGGGTTGCTGGGTAATATGCTAAGTGTGTATTTACCTTTATATTAAAAAATCTACCAAATTCCTTTCCAAAGCACTATACATACTACATCCACACAGCAAGGCACAAACTTCATTATTTCATACCTTGTCGGCATGTGATGCTATCAGTCTTTATGACTGCAAGCATTCTAAAGAGTAAAGCATCTCATTGTGGTTTTAATTTTCCCCTTCCTCAATAAATATTGATGTCAGCATTTTGTCCATTTGCATATCTTCTTTCCGGAGAAGGCACTGGCGACCCACTCCAGTACTCTTGCCTGGAAAATCCCATGGATGGAGGAGCCTGGTAGGCTGCAGTCCATGGGGTCACGAAGAGTCGGACACGACTGAGGAACTTTACTTTCACTTTTCACTTTCATGCATTGGAGAAGGAAATGGCAACCCACTCCAGTGTTCTTGCCTAGAGAATCCCAGGGACGGAGGAGCCTGGTGGGCTGCCGTCTATGGGGTTGCCCAGAGTCGGACACGACTGAAGCGACTTAGTAGCAGCAGCAGCATGTCTTCTTTAATAAAGTGTACTTCAAATTTTTCTGCATTATTTATTGTGTGTTTTATCTTTTTTTTTTGAGCCATAAGATTTCCTTAAATATTTTAAGTATAATTGGATATTTAAGTAATGAATGTTGTTATTATTACTAAATCTAATATTCAGCTCTATCTGTCTATCTTTGTCACTTTATTTTTTCTTTTCTTTGAAGGACAGTTGATTTAGAATGCTGTATTAGTTTAAGGTGTACAGCAAAGTGATTATACACATGTATGTATTCAGCTTCTCTTCCAGTATAGTTTGTTACAAGATACTGAATATAGTTCTCCGAGCTACACAGTAGGTCCTTGTTTATTTTGTATGTAGTGGGGTGTATCCATCAATCTCAAACTCGTACTTTATCCCTTCCCCCTCTCCCTTTGGTAACCATAAATTTATTTTCTATGTCTGTGAGTCTTTCTGTTTTGTAAGTAAGTGCATTTGAATCATTTTATTAGAGTCCACATATAACTGATAATACTGGAGTAGGTTGCCATTTCCTTTTCCAGAGGATCTTCCCAACCCAGGGATCGAACTCGGGTCTCCTGCATTGCAGGCAGATTCTTACCAACTTAGCTTTGAGGGAAGTCCACATATAAGTGGTAGTATATGGTATCTGTCTTTGTCAGGCTTACTCCACTTAGTATGATCATTTCTGGGTCCATCCATCTTTGTACATTGCTGATGCACCTCCTTTATCAGATAAGTCTTGAAAATATTTTCTTTTGTGTCTTGCTTTTTTATTTTCTTGGTATGTCTTTTGAAAATCAATTTTTAAAAATTGTTATTAAGTTAAATTTATCTATTTTTTTTTATAGGTTGTCCTTTCTGTATACTAAGAAAGTCTATGATTCCCAAGGTCACAAAAATTATCTCCAATGCTTTTAAAGAAGCACTTTTAATAATTATTTGGAGGTCTGTTTTATATAAATAAATAGCATATATATTATATATACGTTTCCTTTACATCACACCCAAATATTAGTGGTTAGATAAACACATAGAAATTTCAGCACCATTTCCTGAAAAGCCCATCCCTCCCCTTTTAGTTATCTAGGAAAATTTGTTGAAAATCAGTTAAGCTTATATGTTCATTTATGTGTAACCAAGAGCTTCCCTGATAGCTCAGTTGGTAAAGAATCCGCCTGCAATGCTGGAGACACTGGTTTGATCCCTGGGTTGGGAAGATCCCCTGGAGATGGGAAAGGCTACCCACTCCAGTATTCTGGCCTGGAGCATTCCATGGACTCTACAGTCCGTGGGTCGCCGAGTCGGACACGACTGAGCCACTTTCACTTTCACACACATTCTTCCCTCTGGTGTTTGTGTCTGTCTGGACGTCCCCACTATAATCCCAACCTCTGTCACTTTATGTAGGAAACATGAAGTCAGGTAGGATGATTTCTTTAACTTTGTTTCGCTTTTCCTTAAATTTTCGTATGCCCTCTGCATTTTCATATAAACTTCAGGAAATGGAGGTTGTAGGGATTTTAGTTGGCTTATGTCATCCTCTAAATCAGTTTGGGAAGGATAGATGCCTTAACAATATTGAACTTTCTGTGCCATGAACATGAAACTATTCTACACTTACCTTGGTCTTCCTTAATTTCTCTCAGGAATATTTTGTAGTTTTTAGCCAGAAATCAGGCATGTATGTTGTTCAATCATTCTTAACTATTTCCTATTTGAGGGGGTATGTAGGTGGATATATAGGTGCTTAATGTAAACATATTTTTTATTCACTTTATTTCGTTTTTTGGATTCTCTAGCCATGGTATCTCTAGAGCTAAATGTATACACACACACACACACACACACACACACATATAACAAAATATAGGGAGTTTTTTGGTATATGGGTCTGGTATACTATGACCTTGTTAAATTTTGTATCTTTACTGTAGAGCATTAGGATTTTTTAAAATCATATACTCTGTTAATAAAGAGTTTTATTTGTTGGTGTTCCAATATACTACATGGGTTTCCAATTACTTGTATATTTTATTTCTTTATCTTCCCTTGTACTAGCAATGGGGAGGGCATGCAGAATCAGTCTTCTACTATTAAGTATGAGATTGGTCCAGATTTTTCTAGATGCTCCAAGATGCTCATAATTGGGACAAAGAAGATCTCTTCTATTCCTATGTTTCTAAGAGTTTTCATCATGAAAGAATGCTAAATTTTGTCAAACATGATTTCTGCATCTATTAAGATGATTGTATGGTTTTCACTTTTACTCTGGTATTCTAATACCAGAATTATCTTGATTAATTTTCAGTGTTAAACCATCCTTAAATTAGTGGGATAAATTTTGCTTAATCAGATTGAAATATCCTTTGCTATAGTTATGGACTCAGCTGGCTATTGTTTTGTTTAGGATTTTAGCATAGATGTTCATGAGAAATATTGGCTTACAGTTTTACTTTCTCAGAAGTCATACTTCCTTAGAAGAAAGTTAAATTACAAATCAACATTCCTTAGAACATGTATTATTCTGATTTTTGCATCAGGGTAACACCAGCTTCAAAAGTTGAGTTGGGACATATTCTTACCGTTCTTTCTTAGTTTTCTCGTGGTTTCTTTTTGGTAAGTACATGCATGCATGTGTGCACATATATAGAATGCTGTTTAATTTCTAATAATTCAGGATTTTTCCAGATATGTTTCAGTTATTGATTTCCTATACAATTTACTTGTGTTCAGAAAACACTTTCTTTTGTTTTTCAGTCTTCTTAAAATTGACTAAGATTTCTGTGGCCCAGAATATGGTTTATCTCTAGCTGTGTATTGATCCTACTGTGCACGTCTCTTCTCAACACAGCACCAGGCGAATCACGTTGGAAGCTTGAAACCGTGGGAATATTTACACCATGGAAATTAGCCAGTATAATCCATTGGCACTTTGGGGAGCCAGTCATTAAGCCGTTGTCACATACGTTTTTCTCCTTGAAGGACCCACGGTCCTTGACTGCTGAAGTTGTTCAGTCGCTAAGTCGTGCTGTGTCACTCTTTGTGACCCCATGGACTGCAGCACGCCAGGCCTCCCTGTCCTTCACTGTCTCCTGGAACTTGCTCACACTCATGTCCACTGAATCAGTGATGCCATCCAACCATCTCATTCTCTGTCGTCCCCTTCTCCTGCCTTCAATCCTTCCCAGCATCAAGATCTTTTCCAATAAGTCAGCTCTTTGCATCAGGTTGCCAAAGGATTGGAGCTTCAGCTTCAGCTTCAGTCCTTCCAGTGAACGTTCAGAGTTGAATTTCCTTTAGGATGGACTGCTTTGATCTCCCTGCTGTCCAAGGCACTCTCAAGAGTCTTCTCCAGCCTCGATTAGGTCTGTGTTTATCTGTACAAGCATTAAAATGAGCCTGAGCTCCTGGCATGTCTCCGACGCTCATCAGCACCACCAGGGTTCACTCTAGTCTTTCCTCCTGCTTATTTGTAACTTCCTGTCTCACAGAGAGAAACTTGGCTTCCACGATTAGAATTCATTTACTTGTTTACTCAACCCTAGTAGCATGGGAACTAGTATAGACTTGCTAAACTGAACCCACGTGGGAAACAAATCTACACTGGAGTACAGGCTCAAATCTGGTTCTTACGATCTCAAGACTTACAGTATCCAGATAAAACACCAAAATTACTGAGATAAGCTCCTTTTCCTCCGCACCAACCTCACTGTGGATGCATCACTCAATAGTAATACAATTGGATATATCTGTCTCAGTCTGCGTTGTGCCCTGGGAACCCCGATTTACAGGTTAGTTTTTCTAAATTTGCACACAGCACAGTCCACTCTGATGGGCACAATTCTGTGTGCTGTGAAATATGCCTGGGATGTTTGTAGTTTCTAGTGTCTT